TCTAAAAAAAAAAAAAATATTATTGATTCGCACGAGTTGCAGCCTCCGGAATAACATGTTTGAGCTGGCGGACCGGCTCGTTGGAATCTACAAAACCGATAACTGTACCAAGAGTATCACCATCAATCCTGGAAGCTTTGTAGTCTGTGAGCAGGTCTCTTAATCTCTCTCACAAATCACCCTGCAACTTTTGTATCTTTTATTTCATGAACTTGTATACTCATGTCACATTTGTGTAGATCCTTTAGCCATGACATCTTGGCTATTATAATTAAGTAATTATTATCTTGAATTGGTGCAATGGGTTTGTTTGTAAGTTGACCAACCATCATTGTCTAAACTCTAAAGTATAATATACTTTTTTTCTTATATTTATTTATTTATTAGAAAAAAAAAGTTGTTAAATTATTTTCCATAAAGCTTGCAAACACTCCCATGCATATTGCTATTCTGATGAAGATTAACCAAAAAAAAAAAAAGAAAGAAAGAAAGAAAAAAGTGCATCCTATATAGGCACTCTTACAACACACTATAGTGTACATAGATCACTAGCTTCAATCTCGACCGTAGATCTTATAGACGGTCAAGATTTTAGGTCACTTGCTTCAGTATCAATAGCAGATCTCACAGACGGTCAAGATTATCACGTGGCAACCCGTGTTGCTCGTGATTGCCTCTCATCATGAGGCGATGTTTGAAAGACAGTGAATGGGTATTTAGAGCGCCAGCAGGCTTGTCCGAAACCCGTATGAAACTGTAGGACCATGCTCCCAACAGGGTCCCGCAGATGGGCCCCACAATGTAGACCCAAATGCCGTCGTAATAGTTGCTGGCCACTGCTGGGCCTATGCTTCTTGCCGGGTTCATCGATCCACCTGATATGGGCCTGCACAAACAGTTGTAGAGTCATAAATGGGCCAAAACCTTTGGTCTAATTAATGAGCTCGAGTTCGTCTTGTTTATCAATATTAATATTCACAAGTTGGAGCTAATTCTTATTCTCACCCAGCTAAGATTGAAGTGATGCAAACTGCAGACCCAACTGCTATTCCCGCTAGCTCCCCTATCTAATAAATTCAAAGTCGACCAAGTTGAAGGAACAATTACATAACACATCAAGCAACCGAAAAACAAATAGAAAAAAATAATTCGCGACGGTTTATTAATTTAAATTTATTTTTAATTTTTTTCAAGTCAGCCCAATCTATGTTACGAAGTTTTACGTAGAGGCACAACGTTTTCTTAATTTTTTTTTAATTAAAATTAAATTATTTTCTTTTTGGTTTTTCGGGGTGGTGATGTGGAGGCTCGCCGGGCTTTTCTTACAGCTTTTGTATCGGTGGCTACTGCCGAGGTAATGAACATCATAGAAAACGTGACAACTATTTCCATGATGAGGGCTTGTATGTCGGCCCCGGTTGGTGACGTGGTGCCTACGTGTTTTATTGGGTGCAAAAGAACGCGTAGCGTGAAGCCGGCCGAAATACCGCCGGTCAGCTGTGCTGCTACGTAAATCGGTACCTGGATTCACGATCATAGAAAATATGTAAAACAATTTCTGAATTTGGTTATGAGAAAAATAAAAATAAAAAATCATAATATATTAATCATATGATCCATCATGTGATTATTCTGGATTAAAAATTTAGAATGATTATAATAAACTTAACTACCTAACATGTAACTAACATGCATTAATTCTGTAGTAACATAGTTGAATTATATATTCAAGTTGTTTCATGATTGTTCACAAATTATATATACAGAACAAATACTAACTGAAAGTCCCCAAATATTGTCCATTCAATTCCTACACTCAAACCCCGACCAAACCCTACAAGAGTCCAACTAGTTACCATGCATTAGAAGAAAAATTTGCATGCATAGCTTCTTAATTAAGTACTTCCACGTTGTGTCATTAATTAACTAATTAATTAGCGTACCTCATCAATAAAACCACCCCAATTAAAAAAAAAATAATAATAATAAAATGTAATAAAAACAAATAACAGGAAAAATCAAAGACCTGAATCCAGGGGAAATGCCGAACGGCGGCAAAGGCTAAAGTGACGGCCGGGTTCATATGAGCACCCGATATGTGACCCACGGCGTAGATCATCACAGTCACGATTAGGCCACCGGCAACCGATGCTCCAAGTCGAGACACTTTGTGTTCGTCGGTCGAGCTAAGAGCAGCAGAGCCACACGTCACGAACACCAGAAGAAACGTAGCGATTATCTCCGCCATAACCTAATAGTAAAAAAATATTATTTCATGGTATATATAACCATATATAGGATTTTTTTAAAAAAAAAAAAATAGAAAAATGAAAGGAGTTGTATATTAAATAATTAATACCTTCTTCAATAAATCAGGAGGGTATTTTTGTAAAAAATCCCTCCAGAAGGAAACCGTTAGAGGCGAGTCGAGCTTCGGGTTCTCAACAGAGACGAGCCCGGATACATCGCCGTAATTTAGCTGCCGATTATTATCCATATTTTTCTATGTATAAAGAGAAAAAAAATGTTCCTTGTTTAGAATACGAGGAGTTGTGAATTGAAGAGAATATTAGAGGCTGAGCAAGAAAAGAAAAGAAAACTAACTTGGTTTTATAGATGAAGCTAGGCCAGAGGAGCTTGTTTAGGCTGAGTGGATGGATAGTCTAAGGGATTTTATATAATGTTTTATAATGTACGTTATATATGTTATGTTCTGTTAGCCTGTCTAATTAGACAGTTCACTCTTCTAAGAAATATATCATATTTTTAAAATATAATACACAGTGAAAGTAACATATTATAATATGTAAATATGAAATTTTATAATAAAATATGACAGTCTTAACTTTAATAAGTCTAACAACAATAGTAGTGTTGGCTTCCAAAGTATTTGTTTACATATAAATCCGTTCAAGTTGAGTTTATTTTATTTTATTTTTTGTTTTTTTTTTTCAATTAACTAGGGTTAATTTTGAGAAAGTTTGATAGTTAGTTGTTTGTGAGATTTTGATTTTATATTAAAATGATATTTAAAATATAATAATTAAAGTTGATTTGATGTAAAAGTATGAAAGAGATTTTGTAAAGTAATGGTTAGTTAAAAATAGGGCAATGCTATATGTACAATCGTAGGTTACTACATTATTTGACAACATAGTTAAAAGTATCATTAACTCAAATCTTAATCACACATTTATGTGCATCTCAACCGCCCCATTATGTCACATCATATTGTCATTGAATATTGTTGTACAAAAAAATTGTACAAGTAACTTTTTCCTTAAAAATATATGAGTGGATGAATAGTGAGTTAAAGTTGATGTGATGTGTAACAATGATTAGTTTGTAGTATTTAATTATATTAATAATATTGAGGATAATGTAGTTGAATTAAAGTTGAATTAGATTTTGAGTATGAATTGAATGTGAATGTTTTATTCTGTAAACAAACATGTTATTAATATAAATCTATTTTGGGATTAAACATGTGTAATTGATACATTTGGTCATTATATTGTTTAGCCAAATTAAGTGATAAAATTATTGTACATTGGCTAAGTAACTTAATTTATATTATAGAATGGTTAAATATGGACATCCAGTAATATTATAATTTGGTGACTTGACAAATAATAATATTAAATTTATAGACCTAAATAGCAAATAATTTAACTCAAAATAATTATTGGATGGAGTCCCCAAAATCTATGAAAATGCAAAAGGGCCATTAAGATTATTAATTAAGAGATACGAAAGAAACCGTCGCCCCACGCTCTTTATTCAGTTTTCTCTTACGTCAGAGGAAAAGAGATTACATTCACTATTTTTTGGAAGTTCCCCAAACTCCCAAATTCCCAAATCCAAATATCGAGTTCTAAACCAATCGATCAACGTGAATAAATCAGGTAGACTTTCGTTGTTCAGTTTTGATTCTCAATTATTCGATATGAACGCTCTTGGGATTAAGCGATTATTTCGCATAAGGTTAAATTTAAATTTTTACGTTAAATCCTTATAAAATGAGGTTTTCTTTTTATCTATCCATCTATCCATTTATTTAATTCATTTTATTTATTTTTTTATTTTTTTATCTTTTATTGTTTGCCTTTTCAAACCATGCATATGATACCTATGTTTATGATCTAGGATAAATTTGACAGAACAAATGAAGTGAAAGTGAAATATCAACAAAAGGTATAGAAACATAATTGTTATATTTTAGTGGCTACCAAGAATTCAAAGTGCCCATCTCCTTCAAATCAATTTAGTCCAAGAATAATCCGTCACTTTATTGTCATATGGCCATTGGCCATACACGTGTCTTCACCTACATTTGTCATAGTAAAGATATTTATGATGTTCAAATTTAATCACTATATAATTAATCACACACATTTCTTCTGAATTTAATGATATTACAGACTTGAAATCCTAATAATATGAGTAGTTTTTTTAAAAGCAAGTTGATTATTTACCTATCATTAATGTTAAGCTTATGCTTAATTTTATTATCACAAAGACTGCTTTGTTGAACAGAAACGTACACTTTCATATGCACATATATACTCAATTAATCTATTCAACAATATTCTTCGAGCTATGACGCGGAGAACCAGGCGCTTCACACTGGTCTTCAGATTGCCGCTTCGATCTCCTCTCACATCTGAATAGAGTTGGACGCTGCCGCTGTCATCACTCTCTTGTCATCTGACCATCAGGACACGTGGCAGATTCAACACCCTCTCATGCGTATCAGAGTCACTCTTCGGTCGATTCATTCTCTGATCTCGCATATTTACCGCGAGGGGAACCGGCATGTTGACCTCCTCGCTGGCATCGGGTCTTCCACCCCTCAGACGATATTCCTCTCCGCCTCCGCACCCTCATACGGATGGACCAGATGTGATACCCTTCATTCAGATTTGTGTAGCCGGTCCTACTCTTTGGCGCATCCGCCACACTGTGTTGTTGACTTTTTTGTCGGGACTTGTTGGGGTATCACAACAAGCGCAGCGGACAAAAATACCCCTCCAACAAATATGGCAAGTACTACTCCAAAATAAGCCAACACAAATAAAAGACGAGAAATAAAAAGA